CGGGGACGGGGCGCAGCCACCGAGGGAAGGGAGGGGGGTAAACAAACAAGGGAATTAGGAGAAGGGCCGCAGTTGAAAAAGAGTTAAAAAAATAGAGGGAAAGATCAAAGCGCTGGGTAAAAGACTCTTCAAATTACACGTTTGAAGCTTTTCCATAATTCCAAGGCGACAGATAGATAACAAGCTGCACATTCCTTATCACATATGGAATCAATCTGAAAGGAGTCTCTTGATCAGAATCTGTTAATTGCACTGACATATGATTTGGAAAGAAAACACAATTAATGACCCTTCATGTTAAGGCTTTGGGACGAGGCCACTGACAATCTGCGCTCTGTAGCCAGCGTCAACTTTTTTTTAAAATTATGATTGTTATTATTAGTAAACTATTAAAGGGAGACATTCCTCGATCCTCAGCGACTGTTTTGTCTCTGTTCCCGTTGCAGGTTTCTTCAGAAGGGGGAGGAGAAGTGAAGGGGACGGGACTGTGTGCACGCCTTTCCTTCAAGGTTTGGGGAGCTAAAATGATTTAGTACCTTGTCTGTAAATCTAATGACCTAAGGTGAGAAAAAATACTTCATCTTTTATTATTACCATTTGTGGTGAGCGTTACCAGGAAACAGCAGAACCCGTTTGAAATGGTAAATATATGTATCCATTTAAAACCCATTATTGCAGAGATTTTCCCAAAGCTAAATAAAGCAAATCTCCCCAATCCCATTTTCTAGCGCCCTCTGCCCATGGCTCCTCTTGGCTCCGCCGCCCCTTTCCGGGTGCTGGGACTGCTGAACCTCGGCCCAGCCCTCCTGGGTATGGTGGGTGCAGGAGGTGGGGGCTGGGGGGGACACAAGGTAGCTGTGGGTGCTCCGGGGCTGCTTGTGCGCCACGCGCCCCATAATGTTAGGAAAGGAGGGAGCAACATTTTAAAAGCTTTACTCTGTCATTAAAAGGTAATGGCTTTGTTTTAGAAGGGAGAGGTTCATTTGAAGGTTATAAAGCATACACTTTAATAGGATCGAAGTGAAATTAGTTAATAAGAAAATGCTGGCCAGAAGCTCTCCGGGCTTTAAGTGCTCTCCAGGCCATTTAGGGGAATTGAATAAGATCAGACTCCGTTACCTGCAGCCCCAACTATTATCTCCAGTTCTGCACAGAGGCGAGAAGGGAAAAATAGTGCCTGAGAGACCTAAAGTTCTGTACACCTCCTGCCAGCCTATTTCCTCGAGAAATAACGTCCCCTTTCTGCTCACAGTTGTGTTCTCCTCCTTCTTCTTCTGCTTCTTTTTTTTTTTTTTTTTTTTTTTTTTTTTTTTTTTTTTTTTTTTTTACTGCACTGTGTACCACAAGGGGGTAAGCAAAGGTAAGGGGCCATCACCCGATGCTAAGGGCTCCGGGGGCAGCCCTGAACAGCAGCCTCATCCCCGCCTGGGCAAAGCTGGCCTCTGGGTGTTATTTTCTCCCCTTCATTTCTCTGAGGTGGTTTTGGTTGGTTTTTTGTTTTTGGTTGGTTTGGGTTTTTTTGTTTTTTTGTTTTTTTTTCTCACCATTGTGGTGCTTTGTTGATTTTCGTTCGGACTGTTGCCAATAGGTCAGTATATTGTGTTACCTAACTTCCTATCTGCTCCCTTTCTCCCTCCCATTAAGCTTGCTTTATAGTTTTCAGAGGTGTTAATAAAACCTTTCCTTTGGTAAATCGTTCATTAGAAACCGCACAGAAACCTGGAAAGACTTCAGAAAAAAAAAAAAAAAAAAAAAAAAAAAAAGCAGCGCTCAGGAATGAGAGGTTGGGAGAAGGCTTTTGTCCAAAAAAATGCATAATTGCTGTGAATCTTAGGAAACATTAATCTTTATAGGAATTTGTGATTCATATCTGTGGTTTGACCGTTTAGGTGATTTACAATCTGTGAGTGCAATTCCCTAATTTTATGCCAGTATATTTTATTGCAGCCGGTTAGACTTTCCACCGTCCATCGGAATGGGCGGGTTTCTCGCGCGGCCGGTGCCGGCGTGGCTCTGCCTCCCACCCCCACCCGGGGATGCTCCCCGGGAGCGGGGAAGTGGGCACAGGGTGCACGCAACTGTGGGAAACTTCCCCTCGCCATTTCTCGCCCCTTCTTTTCTCGCCAGCATCTTATCGGCCGGGCGGGCAGGGGACATCCCCCCCCACCCCCCACGCCCCCCGAGCCCCCGCCTCCCTCCGCGGCTGCGGGGATGTGCGACGCTCCGGCACCGGCTTCGGCGAGGGGGCTGCAGTCTTTGTAAGCCGGAGCCGGGGATGGCCCGGGTTTCTCGAGCTTTACCAGCGGGTTTAAACCCAGTTTATTCCCCTCCTGCTGCTCCGGTCCCCGGCACGGTGCAGCGGGGAGCCCCGGCACGGCGTGGGGGGCTCAGGCCGCTCCGGACACTGACCCCGCCTCGGGGCCGCCGCTGTGGGACGGTCCCGACGGGCCGGTGCCTCTCCGGCTCCCCGGGGGTACCCCCGTCCCTCCTCCCCCGTCCCCAACCCGCCGGGAGGTGACACCCCCTCCCCCTCGGGACGGGGACCGGGCCTTGCCGGCGTGTCGTGCGGGGGAAATGCAACTCGAACGACGGTTCTGGCCGCCTTTAGTGTCTGCGTGGAAGCGAAGTGGGGCATTCCCCGGGTGAGACGTTTCAGCACTCTCCGGCCGCCGCGTGGGAGAGCTGGGGATGCGGACAGCTTCGTGTAATTTGTAACTGGGTTTATTAGCTGGAGGGGAAAACACAAGCAAAGAAAAGGAGCAGCAGCTGCACTGAAGATAACACTGCGCGGAGTCTAATCTTGTGACACAATCATTAATTACTATTGTATTAATTACTATTTTTCCAAAACCGTCCCCGCCCGGAAGAGCTTACAGCCCACATCTGCTGTGTAATGATACTCTGGTTTAGAAGCGAGTCCCCCATTAGGTCCCAGGTAGCGTTTACGAATGGCAACACCTACAGTATCAAAGACCCTCATCTTGCAGCCTGAGATTTTCTGTCCCATCGGCCTGGGTAGGATGATTTTAATGCCGATAAAATACATTTAAATATCAAAGTCTTCATTCATGTACATATTCCGTCCAAACTTTTAGATCACAATGGCGCAACTGCTATATTTGCTCTTCATCCCACGGATGCTGCCTTATATCAGTAACAAACAAGCATTGATTTTATGGTAAAGTCACTTTGGGATGGGAATGAGTAACTCCAGGCAGTGCTATCACTGTATTACATGGAAATGGCCCAGGTAACAAGATGAACATTGATTCAGCATTATGTTTGATCAATAATGAAATAAGTAACTTCAGGGCCAAATTAAAATGCAAGCTGGCTTAACGCTGCCAGCTTCTGGGCTAAGTGACAAGGCTAATTCAGCAGGGAAATGGCAATATTTGCATTAGAGGCTGCATCTGTTGTTTGGTGGAAGAGGCTGGATCTGCAATAACGCCGGATAAAACTGCAGGGAGCGGGTTTGGGGGGAGCCGTGCCGGTCCCCGGGCCGGCGGGGGGGGCCGCCCCGTCGGGGCAGCGCCGCTTTGCCCTCGGCTCCCCTCGGCTTTCGGCCACCGTGGAGCTGAGCTGCAAAATCTAGTTCAGGGCGGGTAACAGAAACCCAGCGTGCTCCGTTTCGCGGATAACCAGCTGGTGTTAGCACTTAGCGAGGGAAATCTGCTTTTACAAACTCCTCGGCGCACGGGGAGCCGGGGCCCTGCCCGCCCGGCCCCGGGGAGGGCTCCACGGTGGAAGCGAGCGGGGAAGGGGACGTGATTTAGGACATGAGTGGGAGCATGACCAGAGCTACCCGTATCGGCGGCCTTTGGCCCGGTTTATCCGCCGTTTTCTCCATGGCCGGTTTTTATAGCTCTGCCATCATTATCGGGACGGTGACACGCATTGATTTCCAATAGCGATTCTCACCTGCAGCTGGCCAGCACGGGGACACGGGGCGAGTCACCGAGGGTAAAACCTCGCTTGGGGGTGGAAGAGGTCTAAGGGGTAACCCCGTGCCCAGATTCGGAGCTGGGGCGGTGCGGAGCGGGAAGCCCGCGGCAATCCACGGCCGCTCGTCGGGTGGGAGACCGGCAGCTCCGGTGTGCCGGGCCGGGGAGGAGATACAGTCACTGAGAGCAACAAACACCGCGGGGTGCGAGGCGGCTGGAGCTGCCGGTGTGTGCGGGTGAGGAGGGTGCGGGCAGCACGGGAAGGCGAGAAAGGCAGCCGGTGTGTAACGTAAACTGGGGACACCTAGTGCTGTGGCAGTTTTCTAAGTTTTTTGGTTTGTTTTTTTTTTTTTTTTTTTTTTTTGACAGTTCGTAGACATTTCCTTCAATGTGGGAAAAAAAAAAAAAAAAAAAAAAAAAAAAGGAAGGAAGTGCTCTCCCCAAAAGAATAGGAAACACCTCTCAGTGCAGCCGGGGCTAAACTGAGTGTGCCAGAGGAATGCGTGCCTCTGTCCCACGGCTGGGAACACCCCGCAGGCAGAAAGCGCGGCTCCCGTTCACCGGGGAGGGGACACCAAACTGGCTGGGGGGGGGGGGGGGGGGGCCCGACGGCCGCCCCAGCGGTGGGTGGGTTTCTGCCCTCCCCGCACCGGCGCTGCTGCCGCCCCGGTGCAGCCCTGAAACCCGAGCCGTAACTGGGGCCCAGTGTGGCGGAGGGGGGGCTGGGAACGGCGGAGGTGGTGGGTGAGGGATGGCCCGGGGGGGCGGGCGGCAGCGCGCCCGGGCAGAGAAGCCGCTCCCCGCCTACGAAGGGGCCTCGGCCCCCCGGGGAAGGAGAGGGGAACGGAGTGCTGGGGGGGGCGCGGCGTGCGTGGCGTGGCGTGGCACTGCACGCAGCCCCGCTCCCGCCCCTCCCGAGAGGCAGGATTCAGCCCGCTCCTTAGGGTGTCGGTGCAAGCCCGGAGCAGGGGGACGGGGGGGGGGACGGGGCGGGAAATTTAGGGCAGGCAGAGCGGAAGCCCGGTGCAGCCCCCGCTTTGAAGGCGGTGGGACCCCCTCCGCAGCGCTGCGCGGCCGCGAACCTGGTGCCTTCAGGGAGCGCGGGGGCCGGGCGGGACGCGGCGGACGGACCGTGCGAAAAATAAAAGGGGCCGGCGCTGGCGTTATTGCTCTTTCCTCTCCTTAAGCAGGTCAAACGCGATCGTTCAGAGCTATTGATTGCTCCGCGGGCTTGTAGTGATTTGTTAAAAGTAAGTAAGGGCGAGCAGGAGGTGCGGAGAACAGCTCCGGGATCAGCCGTGGAGGGAAAGCGCGGGCGGAGTGGGGCGGGCTGGGCGGAGAGGAGCGGCCGCGCAGGGGCGGGGGGGGGGGGGGGGGGCGCGGAGCCGCGGCGGAGCCTCCGCGGAGTTCCCGGCGGCGGGAGGCGGGAGGCGGCCGGGCGTGCTCCGCGCAGCCCCGCGCAGCCCCGCGCACCCACCGCGCCCCTCCTCGGCCCGGGGCACCCCGTCAGGGCCGTGGGTACACCCCCGTACCCCTGGCTCCAGGGCAGTAAACGAAACCTGTCCCGTGTGCCCCCGCAGCTCCGCGGATGATGAAAATCTGAGGGAAAAACGTGGGAATAGGGGAAAAGACGGAAATTGTTACATAGTTAACTTTAAAGGCCGAATGGATTTTCTGTTGAGGGGTAAACACAAAACCATCTACTAAAGTCAGACATGCCTTCTTTTTCAGGGCTAATGGAATGAGTCATCGACAGAGTGGATTATTTAAAGCACCAT